TAAATATGAAAATAATTTAATAAACTGAAGTTCAATTGATCCGTTTAATACTGACAAAAATAATGATTCTCGTTCGAATCATATAAAACAGTTGCCACCGAATCGGATTGGAGGAAACAATATGTTGTAATGACCGAATTCCCATTGTGCTATATATTTAATTACAAACTGGCGGACAACGACGTATAGATGATATTTTTTTATTATTTCCTACTGTATTATATTATAGTTCCTATCTATTTATATTTAATTTTTATTTAAATTTAAATTAAGGAACGCTATGAATGTGAAATATAAACAAGTTGTGGATTGCAGATGAATCCCTACACATATTGTAATATTATGATAACGTCAATTACAATTTACAAAATTATAAAAAAAAATCCTGATATTATTGTGATTTATATAATTCTACAACAAAATATAAACTGTAAAATAAAAACACATGCACGCAACAGGGGCCAGGAACTAGAACCATTTGAAAATATTGTAACCGGAACTGGAATTATTTAAATACTTTAGAAATTGGAATTAAAATAAATATTGAGTACCAAACCCATTTTGGTTAAAATTAGTATTAATACTCTAATAGACATCTATCATTTTTAATAACGAGTACTCGTTTTGAAAAAAAGTAATAGACATTTTTATTTTCCAGAACCAAGCCGAACCCAAGCCAAGCCCGAAACAGAAACTTCTTCTAGAAATCAAACTCTAAAACCTATAAAAGGACTGTAAGTCCCTGAATTACTGAATGTATAATAGTTTACATATAATATTTGAGTGGGTAATTTTTACCGATTTCTACAACAGCGATAGTATATACATTAAAGACAATATAATATTATAATATTATTGGTAGGTATACCTATATACTCTGAAAGTCGAGTTTTCTATAATCTAATAAAATATCATAGCAGTGTAGGTATAATAATTGTATTGTACTATTGTAGACGGCGAGTGATGAATGGGACAAAGAGGGAGAGAAACTCGTCTATAACTACCACGCGTTTCAAACTTTCTAGCCGGGTAAAATAAAACTCGAGAGTTGGCAACCACGGTATCGTAATACATTATTATGACATGCGTACGCGGTTCGTCCGGCCTTTGTCTCTACGTCCAACGATAACGCAATATTTACAAGTATCGTGCGACAAATGCCGCCACCGCCGCCTACCCGCGGAATCGAATGTGTGTCGAGAGCTGATGATGAGGCGCACTCGTCGGACAACAAGTGTGCGACTACTGCGATTTGCGAGTGTGCAGTTATCACCGGTCTCGGATTTCAAAAGGAGATGACACATCCGTCGGATGACGTAGAGGAGACAATGAATACACCTATATATATATTATGCGTGTACAAGCACCTCCCCCGCGGACTGACGTGCGCGATGTAGGCGATGTCCCGGTTTACAAAATGCATTTTATCATCTCGAGTATATATATAATATGTATATATGTATATGTATAGGTACCTATGTGTGTATGTACGCGTATAAGTACGTATGTATGTGTGTGTGTGTGTATTATGTTGTGTAGTCGAAGCGTATTTATAATAAACAGATCTTCCTAAGCCCACGCCATGCCATTTACTCAATGGACGACCAGCCCCGCACGGCAGTACGAGTGCCACGTTTCCAAAACAAAATAAAACCTATTATAGGAATATTTTTTTTTATGGCCGTATTAAGTGCGATTTATTGTTTACTCGAAATTCTTAGTATAGAGGTGAAGGGATATCACTGTATTATCACCACCACTGCCACTTAAATATACATGCACGTTGGCAAAAAATAAACTACCTAGGTAGCAATTTTATTTATTATTTTTAATACATTTTTTTTCTCCATCGGGTCAGAATTTATTGTAATTTTTTTCGTTTCATTGTTTGAGCATTATCAAAACCGAAAAAAGTGCTAATATAATTATTGACAATCTGGAATCGCCATTTATTCTAGGAATGGTAGGTGTAGAAAATGTTTATAGTGTTTATACTTATTATATTACATTCAAAGTATACCATTTCACAATATACTTACATAGTCACATATGATAAAAACATGATGCGGATCAAGCACTAATTTTTAACTATACATAGGTATACCTAATATTATTAGTCAATAGCAAAATATCATTGTTTATAAAAGATATAATAATATACCTATACCTAAGTTAAAAGTTTCAAGTTTAAAAGATAGTATTGTTGAATCACGTCAAAATAACCAAGATCCTTAATTTCCCCTAATTACACCCGAACTTAAATTTAAAATGTCTGTAAAAAAATTGTGTCTATATATTATTTTAGATTTTTAGGTTCCAGTATGAAATAGGTACTTATGAGAAATATTGTATATTACATTTTCAACAGTTAAGACTACATAATAATATTAGATACTTAGTATATTGTATCAAAACATAAAATCAAAAAAAAATCGAAAATGTCAAATGTATATATATATATATATTAAAGACTCAAAATATTTTGAAAATTATACAATACATATAAAATTATAATATGAACATTCGGGGAACATTTCAAGTATCTACGGTTATTCGTCTACGAATTACAACAAAATAAGAAAATAGATTTTGTCAAAAACTGATTTTGTGTAAAAATATGGGTTTTTCTAAATTTTATTTTTTCAATTATTGAGAAAACAACTAGTTTTTTTACTTTTGAAACCACAAAGTGACAACTATATTCAGTTTCCTACCATAACAAATGTTTAAATTTAAAATCGAACCATTTTTTTCTGTTACTTACAAGAAGTGTCTTCAGACACAATAAAACACACATAATTCGATCCGCTCAGAATCTAAAAATTAAATTTATTGTATTTTACATTCTATTTTATCAATAATAATATAATACGTACACTGTGTATTGTCAATGGGATATAATGATGGTTAGTATAGATGTACAAAAATCGTCGCTCACACACGAGGCTAATCCTAGAGCGCTTTCTTTCGACCTTATAACTAGGTACCTAACTAGTAAGTATTAATACCGATATACCATGTAAAACTCGGCACTCGATTTCCCAGTAGTAAAGTTATGAAAAATTTGCTTCGGCCAGTTTATAAAAAACTTTTTGTCAACAATAATAATACCTAATATAAAAGTTGTTTTTGTACTGGTCCACTATGTGATTGCACAGCAGTCACGTCATAACTGTCCCTGCTGTTTTGTGGTACCCCGAAGGTAAGTGGCGAATTGAGTTCAGACAAATATTGGTATTATAATATAATATCATAATATATTATTATGTCTATTATATTATTAGCATTTCTGTCGTGATAGAGACCTATAAGTTACCGCCAGCAGGACTATATAACATTTTTCTCGAAGCTCAGAATAATTTGCATGAAACACAATCTAATAAGTATCAAAAAAAATAAAATAAAAATGTTTTATGTAACAATAGTTTATAATATATCTGTAATATTACACCGCGGCTGCCAGTCACTTATACAATTTACACTGTAGATGGTACATGAAAAGTACACGGAAAATATAATTTGACAGGACTCTAGAGGCGGGGACTGGGGACTGGCGAGTGCATTCACAACTCGTAAAAACTGTTGAGGAGTATACTGCAACGGCATGTGGAATAATAATGTAATAACTACTAATAAGAATTATAAACTTTTAAAAGTGTCTAAATGCAGTTTTCGCACACTGATATGCGAGAAAAAAAACCGTTCACCGGTGTATAATATATTTCGGCGTGACAGCCATTTTGATAGAGTGTCACCGAAACAATAGTTTTGAAATCGTAATAAAAAAAAAAACTAATCGAGTTGCCCCTCAAGAAAAAAAAAGCTCGTCCCACGCGGACGAAACTGTAAAACGAGGACGGTGACCCGAAGAGTTCGCGCTATACGCAATGCGAACGAATTAATTAAAAACACATACTGCAGATACAAGATATTAGATCTTACTCGTATAATAATAATATTATTGTTATCATAATCATAATAATAAAATACGGAGAAAATAAACGCAAACAAAGCCGCTCGCGAGGATTATAAAATAATATTGTAGTGGGTACGAAGATGAAGTGTTAAATTCGCGTGTCGGCCTAAGAATATTAATATTATTATTATTATTACGTCTCGTCCGGACGGTATAATTTATATATATATATATTTATATACATGTAGGTAGGTAACAGCAGCTGTCGAGACTCGCATTTTGTCGCGTGCACATTTTTCGGCCCGTTGAAAAACAATACAATAATAATATGACGATGACGGCCCCCACGTGCCGCGGTCTGTCGTCGAAAGACACGGCGATTAAAACCGATGATGACTGAAATCGTCGTCGACGGAGTGCGCTTTTTTTTTTCTTCGTCCCCTGGCGGCCTCATCACTTACCGGACACGTCGTGTTCAACGATCCACACCCATCGTCGCCGTAGTAATAATATGACTTGCGCAAACCGATTTGACACGTCACGCCGCGGGGAAACGCAATATTTCTTTCGTTTTGTCGTCAACAAGTGTCTTGTTTTGCGACCCGCGCAGCCTCTCGAACATTGGACCGCGTCTTTTCGTCGCGAGTCGTTGCCGCAGGTATTTCCGCATAAAGTACCACTCGATTGATGCGTTCAATACACGTCATGGGCGTGACTTAGTAAACTTCATACATTTCGGCGTTGGGGGGAGTGAGAGACTCAAATTGCAAAATGCTTTTGTTTTGAATTAATAATCAACACAAAACATGAATCTATAGATTATTTATTTGATATAATATATTATAGTAGATTGATTATAGAATCGATTCAACATGAGAAATATTTTTCTGAATAAAATTAACTATTTTAATAGTTATATATAAAATTACATTTCGATGCTGATATATTTGATTAATCTATAATAATATAATATCAATATATTCTAGTGGACATTGCACCTGACTCTAATGTCGTAATATTACTTAATCGAGTTCTGTAAATGAGAAATAACCACATTTATTGACACTTAAACAGTGTTTTAGTTATGCGCCTTAAATGTTTTTGGGTGAAAAATATGCGCAAACGAGGTGCACTGATGCCGAGGCCGAACGTAGGCAACCCTCTCCACGCCCTCTTCACTGGACGCACGTGGACCGAAATTAATATCCAATGTAATAAGTGTCCATATATTGTGTTATTATTTATTATTTACTCGATTACTATTCGCAAGCCAGCCAAAGAAAGATACAATGTTTTCGGCATTGTGTTCAGGCGCGTCGCCCGTTTAATTGAACCGGTTTGCTTGCCAAAAGAAACGTTCCGGCGTGTTATCCTCAAGCCCGCCAACATATTATAAATTATAATGTAGTATATTAATATTCGATCGCCACTTCCACTTGCACACAAAATGTCGGTACTCGAACATAATATTTCGTCTTATCAATTTTTAGGATTAATAATCGCAAGAATAGTTTTTTTTTTTTTACTTTTAACTCATAAACATACAATATCGATGCGTAATGTACACATCGTAGACATCAGATCAATATAATTACAATCTATGTAAGGTAAAATTCGAGCAATAAGAATGATTCCTGTACACGTAGATATATAACAAACAAGTACCTGTAACACAATGTTAATCTGATTTTCAGACAATATTTGAAAAATGGCAGAAAACGAGTTTTGTTTAATAGACAAAACAAAATGGTACCCATATTATAATAATGACAATTCATCGCATAACACGTCATATTATAATATGATATAATATACAAAAATGTTATAACTTATAATACGGTTAATCATTATAACATAAACATTTTAAACTCTTAGTGTGTGGTTTACGATTATAATAAAGTATTATGATATTATCGTATATAATTAAGTTTCATAAATTAAGATAAACAAATTGCAGTGTCTAAACGAATGAACATTTCGAGGATATCAAGACGTTTTTATTGTAATTAATTTATACCATATTTACGCGTGGGACAGATATAAACAACAGCATATGATGTGCGTCTTAAGGTAAAATGATAAATCATACGTGTTAAACTCAAGTAATATATACCTACACTGATAATATTTTATTACGAATATTTAATATTAACGGTGATTTGAATGTTTGCAGACAAAAATTATGATAAAAATGTAGACAATTTGAAACAAAAAAATAAAATTAATAGATGGGAGTCGATATCGATTATAGACATCCCTGACCATCGTCGTAACCGTTGTCATTCGTTCCAAGGTCGAAATTAAGATTTCCCACATCGCGGGATAACTAGATACGCGGTTATTGCGGTCGTATGCGGTTTTATAAAGAGTTTCGATTTTTAATGTAATTAAATGGAAACCGTCACGGACCGACAGTCCGGACGACGTGGACGACGGGGTAAGTAAAAAAAACATATATATAGTAGTAAATAGTAATAATAAAATAATAAAGTTAACATCTGCGAGCGTATAATAAGGTGTATAATGGGTTTCCTAGGGGGAGATAGGATGCGATGTACCACGCATGTATTCGTGTAGATAGGTATATACCTTGCGGGTACCTAATACCTATACAGTGGCCGCACGGCAATATTATAATAATATAATATTATACAGCAAACGGTCGTGCGGTGCATTATATTATTATAATCATCGGTGGCATATTATAATATGTTGTATGTAAAACATTATAAAAATATAGTATATACGTATTATATGTATATATATATAACGGGCACGCGCACTCCCGACACCACACAGCCCGACGGGATCGGGTGAAATAATATAGACGTCAGTATGTGAATATAGGCATATAAATGTAATAGTATTATATATTATATTATATTATGTTAATGGTAGCTATAGGGTGTTTACTCACGGTTTTGCACAGACTACGCGAATCCCAAGTGGTGTGATACTTTGACGGAAGCTAGTGAACGACTGAAAAGAAATTCGCCGGTTTTGAAAGAAAGCTGCGGTGGCTCTACCGCGAGCGCGCACACACACACACATAATAATATTATGTTTATTGCTATTCTTTTTTTTTTTTTTTTAATGGTGTAATAATAATAATAATAATAATAACAACAACAATATAATAACGGACGAATATATTTTATGATAATAATTCCGTCTTATTACGTTTTGCACAACCCGGGCATTTCGAATAGTTTACATATATATATATAGTATAGGTATTAGGTACCGAAAGAGTTCCCACAAGAAAACTCCCACGACTTATAAATTATACTCGTTCCCTTATTGTTACGGCCGCCGCCCGGAGAATAATTACCCGCAAAACAAGGAGGATGTGTTCGTTAGTGCTCTTTTTATTTTTTTCCTACTGAATTTATTTAGGTTATACCTATATAAATATATATATATATACATCACTATATACATACACCGTAGACGGTAATTATCATATTTTTTTTCGTATGTTCTAGTTAAACCCCGGATTTTTATTATTTTTTTATCAGATTTTACACACGATTTCTAACACCGCCGAACATATGATTTCGCGTATTAATTTGCGGCCAAATGGGAAAGGACGTAAGGTGTATGGATAACACCAAGCGACGAGCCAACGAACTCTGCCGATTTATGGCATAATATTATATTAATCACACCTACCTAGGTATTAATACGGCTAAACGTAAGCGGGATGAAAACGTTGAATAAAGCGATGCGAATACGGTTACACAGCTACACATCGGTATAATTGCAGTGGTGGTGATATTCTACATATTCTCATAGGACGCGAATTATGTGTCTTAGAATATTTTACAATATGTATAATATATTTTTATAACTTAATATAACATAATATTTTATTTTAGAATGATAAACTGTAAGAATAATATTGTTATTTAAATATATTAATAGATTTTTTTTACGAATCCTCCTCAATTGTGCATAACCACAAGAAATATTACAAAGGGCAAATACAAGGCGATGTGTGCTACCGTAAATTATGATTAAAAAAACTACCTAAAGATTTTTGGACAAATCGGACAAAAGAAAAATCAAATTTGACAAATTTAAAGAAATCCCATGTTTAATGAAATTATTACTGTTGTACACTTGTGCGTGTAATATAATTCGCACTATCGTGCAGATGCTTAATAACCGGAAACGTCTGTAATAATTATATAGGTAGGTACACTTAATAACTGCATGATTATAATTATAGAGCTTAGTAAATAATAACTACTCGATCATAAAATATATCTTCTTTTTTTTTTTTTTTTGAATCACTGTACTATGCTGAGTGCTGACGTTTGTTTAATTAGATATGATAATATGATATATCTACGTTTTTCAATATATTTCTTATATGATAATCAGCAATCGCTTATCATTAACGCGAATCGAAATAATAACTGTTTAATGCTTCCGAAATCCGAATTCAATGTAATAATATGATGAGCATGCCCATTATTAAAATAATATATTACAATATAATATTGTATATTATAAGACGATTGTATTACGGTAAAAACTGGACACGCACGCAAAATCACCGATATTTTTATCAACGCGCAATCAGCCAGACGTTTTGAATGAAAAACAACTCTCCATTGATCGCCAGGTAAGTGGATATTAATCGGACGGCGATAATGAAATTACGATTAACTTGCGGCGAGGTTTAACGTTACAAGTAAAAAAAAAAAACTGCATAGAGTTTAAAAAAAATCATGGTGTCAATTTAATATAATTTTTTTAGATCGAGTCATGAAAATAAAACCGACGTCTACAGTCGACCGTTTGTAGATTATATTAGGCGTTTAGTACCTGTATACTAGCAGGCAGCAGCGTATATACCCCCGATAGGTATATAATAATATATCGTATAAGACTGTAAAATAAAATATGTACCCGATTCGCGAGATTCGTACAGCTAAATGTGTCTAGCTGATAATACATTGTTGTTTATGGTATATATTATAAACACAGTCTCGTCTCATAACACAATGACTATTACACATAGGTAGTACCTAGTAAATTAAAATAATAATAATTGGTGATAAATGATCACCAGGCCCAAGGACACTTGAAAAACAAACACGCGTCGTAAACGTGCATTTTTTGTATTGTTTTGTGCATAATTGATACTGCGAATATAACGGTTGAGTTTTTCACCTCTGCCCCCAGCCCCCCTTCCCCTCCCACCACCTTAACAGTCAAGCCACCCGAGGTGTCGACAATAAATCTGTCTCGAAAAAAAAAATAATAATAATAACAAAATACAAAACTGGGTCGGCGGCGTTTCCCGTACACGAATGTATCGTAATGGACGGGCGGACGGCGGTCATATAGTTTTTTTCTACTATTTTTTTTCTCTACTCGGCAATCGATGGTCGGTCATCGGTCGCGTTTCCATCGCAGTCATCGCGATGATGAGAACTCGACGAGGACGGGTATATAAACGGTATTATGGAATATAATATGTATATACAGGTATAGTAATAATGTACACCAATATACACAGCGGCGCGTCCGGTATTGTTTGTGTCCGGGAGGAGCCGTGTCCGATGCGTTTTAGGTAGATATATATATACGTATAAATATATTATGATATGCATCTGAAACGCACCGTGAATGTGAAAATCGCGTCTTCCTCGGGGTACGAGCGTCTTCTGGCGGAAGAATAAAAATATTCGTTTGGAAACGACGACGGCTACGAAGGCGACGACGACGGTGGAAGGCGAAAAAAAAAATAAATACTCGGCGCGCGTAAATGAGAACGACGAGGCGTCCACGGACGGCGAGAGAAAAAAAAACGCTCTCCGCACAAAATTCTTCTACATTTATAATTTGAAAAAGTCATCCCGTTAAAATGTCCGGTGTCATTGTCTGCGGCCCGCCCGGTCATCGTCTAAATATAATAATACAAAATAGGTACCTATATTATTATTATATTATATAGTGTGCAGGTCGGTCGCTCTTCGATTTTACGGTTTGCGATTACACACGTTTATATATATTTATGTACACACATTATATAGATACTATGCTGTGTAAGTACCTATACCAATGCGAACTCCCAGCGATAGGAAAATCGCACGTACCCGACGACGCTGAGGTGGGCTTTGTGTGCGGTGATCTTTGAGCCGGACAATTATTATTGTTATTATTATGATTGTTGTCGTCGTCGTCGTCGTTGTCGTAGCCGGTGTCTGACGCACGTATCTAGATCATCGCGTTTTTTATATTATATATTATTACCTATACAGACGCGGCGACGAAAACGTATATTATTATGTAATACGACATTCGCGCGTGTTCCGAGAGAAAAGGAATGAAAAAAAAAAATCCTACGACAATAATATTATAATTGTTACGGTGTATTACAAT